CATGAATGAGTAAGAACGACGGTTGAGATGTATGCAGTAGCGTTGGCGTCGATGGATAGTGAGGATTAAATGACAGAACAACGAGATGAATAACCCAATTCATTTTTGAGCAGTAGTAACCTCAATGGATGTGGAAATTAAGAGAAGGAGGTCGGTCCTCTTAGACAGTCTGATGCAGCATTGAGCAATTACTCAAGTCCATGAGCTTCTCTTGTGGGAGACAAAACATGGCAGACGTCGACCAAGAGGCCAGCATACAACATGGAGGAACTACATAGAGGCAGACAATTTCAGCAAAAGCGAATCTAAATGTTTTTCATGCTTTTTCGCTTTCGGTTGGTATTAGCAGAATCAAGAAGGTAAGCTTCTCACTCTTTCTAGGACAAAAACAACGAAGAGTTGCCTTAGACTCTATCCTGGTGACCGATATCCTGTTAAAGAACTTTACATGCTGCTGTACGAGCTCTAATTCAATATTCTGCCATCATTACTAATGAGTCTCACTCACCTGACAGCGATCTCTAGATACCTTCAATTCCTGTAGCTAATTTAAATGGCACTCTGCCGTGCGAATTGTCTACTCAATCGGTAGAATGAGAAAGTTTAATGTTAATCTAGCTAAGTCATCTGATTCCATGGTTGGCATTATGCTTTTCAACAGGAAGAAACGCGTTTAAGTCTTGAATCGACGTTTCTACTGGATAGGCACAGACTATTAAAAGAGAACTGATCAATGTTCGGTCGAAACATTTGTTTTGTTAATAACGGTCATGCCCCTCATGTAATCTGAAAGTTAAAAAATTAACTTAAAGACCATAAAGCCTTTACCATTTCGTCATTGATTTAAGCGAGGTTTGTGACAGAGGACTCTATGAACTAATTTCGAGGGTTCCCTGTGATCCTCTTCAGAAAATTCATCGGCATTATTGAATCGATATTTCTTCTGTATGTTCGATCAGCATCTGAGAACATAGATGCCAAATATCACTCATTCGTCGGTATTGAAGCCGAGTCAATTTTACGTGATTTTTACAGATGTTTTCAGTCAGTTTCTGATGATTTTCTCTAAGATTCGATGGGACTGCGTCATTTCATTTGGAATGGAATTTTCATCAGCCAATCAGAATTTCAAGTTGCACGCCTTGAGCAAAACGCTGATAAAAGTCTATTTCACTGCCAAATTACTTTCAGATGTAAAAAATTGAACTTTCTCGTGTAGTTCTCTTAGTCTGTTTGCTGTTCTTTGTCTTCACTGGGCGCTCGTTTCTACTTTTCGTTTCGTAGGTGTATCGTTCAGAAACTTACCTGTGTTCATTTAGACCGAATAACGGCGGAAAAGACTGCGCAGGTTTGTCGATCAGGGCTCTCATCTGCGATGGCAGGCCAGAGTGTCACGACCTTGACAGGAAAGACTATGCCGACGGCGTGTGTAACTCGATTAAAAACGACCCTGTCAATCCTGACCTAAAACTGACGGGCGAAAACTATCAGCGTAAGTTATTGCTCTGTTATTGTTATACAGTTATGTTGTTTTTCTGTCGTCATGGAATGCTGAGTTGCACAAATGGTCTAATAGGCTTCTGGGAGCAAAGAGGCGCATTATAATATCATGTATGCAGGTAGGGAACTGTGTGTACTGACGATGCGACATAATTTGAAACTTCTGTTGCTGCTCGAATTAGTTGTGAACAGTAAGCTACCGTAAGGGGTTGCCCTGCTCGTTTTCCGGTTATTGTTATTGTTTTCAGAAGCGAGCACTTATTTAATGCACTAACCTTATAATCGAAAACGCTTCGATCATTATTCAGGGAATAAATGGTCAAATTTACCCTAATCAACTCAGATCGAAACCGGAACAGTATAAAAGCGAACCAATTTGTCTCGTGCTTATCTTCTGGTATTTTGATGAGGGTATCCATAGTTCAAACCTCCATCATCTGATGGCAGCCAGTAAAAGACGATCTTGTTGAAAATGGTGTCAATTCTATTAGGCAAATATTCAATTAGGCTATCAGCACAAAATAGCAGACTGGGGGGAGGGGGTTAAATTAAACAGTGTATGCACAAGTGGTATCGATGCCTGGAACTTTGCGACCGCCAAATTAGTACAGAGATTCGTTTCTGCAACCCCTCATGCAATAATGCTAGACAGCCAAGCTAGTGTTGTCATGAAATGAACATCAGCTTGCACTTGAAAGGAGCTGACTTTGCTTCCGGTGTCTGAGCCCAAAAAATTGTTCGTTTGAACTTTATTACACACAAAGGATGGGTGTCGTTCGATAGTCCTCAGACAGCAACAAGTTGAGATGGGTGTCTGCAACAGTGGCATCTGGCAAGTAGATCCTCGTGCGATCGTAATCATAATGAAAACAGCGTCAAACATTGTTTATTTATACACAGTATAAATTAAATGGCCAGTTGGATGATTGGCCAGTACAGGTGTGTCGGTGTCGGCCGGTGTTTCATGGGCCATCTTCAAGATGCGGAGACTAATGTTCTTCG